TGCCGATAAGCTGGTGTCCGTGCCGATAAGCTGGTGTCCGTGCCGATAAGCTGGTGTCCGTGCCGATAAGCTGGTGTCCGTGCCGATAAGCTGGTGTCCGTGCCGATAAGCTGGTGTCCGTGCGGATAAGCTGGTGTCCGCAGCCCCACCACGCCCTGGAGGCACAGTGGACAGCTCACTACTGACTGGCCCTCTTGCTCGCTGTTCTGGGTGAAAGCTCAGCACCCACAGGAGCAGGAGGAAAGTGAATGGTCTGTGCACTCTCCCCAGTGTGGTCCTGGGGCCCCAGAAGTGGCCGTTCCCTGCCAGAACCTGGTTCCTCTCTTCCTTCTCAACAGCTGGCCGCAGGCATCAGCAGGTGCACCTGACCCTGAGGCCGGGCCTCAACCTGCCATTAGCTGGGACCCCGGTGATGCCCAGCCTTGCCCCCTGGCGCCCCGGCACCTCCCCCTCTGAAATCATATATTTGCTTACTTACTTATTTATTTCAAAGAGGGAGAGAGAGAGAGAAACATCCATGATGAGAGGGAATCATTGATCGGCTGCCTCCTGCATGCGCCCTGACCCGGGATTGAACCGTGACCTCCTGGTTCATAGGTCGATGCTCAACCACTGAGCCCCTCTGGCCGGGCCCCTTTTCTCCACGGGGACCGTAGCGAAGTCCCCATACACCATGAGTGGCTTCGCCCCCGGCCGGGGCCTTAAAGCTCCAAGGTCTTTCTTAAACCTCCAAGAGGCAACAAGTTCCTTGAACCCAGCTTGCCCGAGCCTCCTGACTCAGCCCAGTGTTCCTGAATCACAAGGAAGACATGGGTCTCAGAGCCAAAGCCTGAGCAGAAACTGCTCGTTGCTGTAAATGTGGGCCAGTCCTGTCCTGGGGGGGGGGGGCACTGCCCAGCTGGAACGGAGCCAGCGCTGCCTGCAGGCCCGCCTCCCGCCTCTCGGTGCTTCTGCCCCTGTGCCTGGCACCCGGCTCTGCTGCTCCCAAGATCACAGGTCCCGGAAGCAGCAGGCGGGACTCAGGAGGGAGGGGAGGGCTTCAGCTCTGGCCCCTGCAGCCTCGGAGAGCTGCCCGGAGGTGGCAGCCTTCTCCGGCCTCTCCCTGCACAGAGCTCTCCCAGCCCCGGAACCACAGCCTCTCCCTGCACAGAGCGCTCCTGCCCGGGAACCACGCCATCTCCCTGCACAGAGCTCTCCCAGCCCGGGAACCACAGCCTCTCCCTGCAGAGAGCACTTCTGCCCGGGGGGCCGGGATGGGGGTGGCAGACCAGGTGCCGTGTGACTGCCCCATGAGCGGGAGAGGCCCTGGGCCTGCCCGGTGGAGAGCTGCCACGTGACTCGGTGGGCTCGACATGGTCCTCATAAGGGGAAGCTACCAACTGGGAGGGGCGAGCCCTTTAATAGAAACCCGCGCTGGGCCCGGCCACGGTGGCCCAGTGGTGGGGCGTCGGCCTACGGACCAGGAGGTCTCAGTGCGATTCCTGGTCAGGGCACATGCCCAGGTTGCGGGCAGAAAGCAGCCAATTGATGACTCTCTCATCACTGATGTTTCTGTCTCTCTCTCCCTCTCCCTTCCTCTCTGAAACCAATAAAAATATTTATTAAAAATAAAAACAAAACCACGAAACCCGAGCTGGGCTGAGGGGTCGCCTCTCCTAACAGCGTGGATGCCAATCCCAGGGCTCCAGGCCCCGGGCCTGCAGGAAGGCGAGAGCAACGAGACGCTGTTCTAAATGCTTCCAGCAACCTGCCGACCACCTCCCTGTCCAGCGGGTGGGATGCCCGGGCACAGGGCGCCAGAGGCACAGTGGCACGGGGCACTGAGCTCCATCCCTGCCCAGGCCTTCTCCCCACCCCAGGGCCCAGGCGGCGGCCCTTCTCTGTTACTAGGCTGTGAACGCCCCTCCCTTCCCTTCCAAGACCGCGGCTCACTGCTGGGCGG